TCTCCCTTTGCCGATATTTATTGTGCTCCCGTAGTTTAAGTAGCCTTTTTGTGTTTTCTACAAGTACAGTTTGGGTGCATACCCTTTGTAGGTTATTATAAGCAATGACATTATCAAAAAGGCTACACGGCGTCAGATATTCATGCTCGTTTAAGAAGGGTACAACCGTCAGAAAACTGTGACTGTAGGCTTTTCCGACCACTTTCAGCAATACACGTTTTGAAGTTTGTTTAAATACTGGAATTCTTCCCTCCCAAAAAACCTCACATTAGTATTCATGTAAACAAATTGTGGTTTTTTTTTCATAGAAACCCGGTTTCCCCACGTCTCCATTCTGAAGTCATTTACAACATATAAACAGGTACAATTAAATAAAAGTCAATTGTATCAAATCTGAATTGCGGTATTTTGATCTACTTCAAACTTTAGTGATAATAATGTGATGTCGTTCATTCGCTTTGTTATTCTTTTCATGTTGACAAACATGCTCTTCATGTTTTCAGTGACATGAAAATGAACTTTGTTCCAGTCTTCTTGTATACGCATTTATTTTCCCCGAGAAAATCCACTTTGATAAAATGAAGGAATCGCTTAATTCGGAGGAAGGATGTTTAAATTATTTGCTGATCTTTCAACGAAGATGAATGATCGAAAAGAATGATTGATTAATTAAATATTTCATGGCAGAGAGTATAAATTTAATGATGAATCATATCGTGTTCCCGGTCTTTTTTATCGGCTGCCTGTCCACAGTGGTCCAAACCATTGAACCAAATGAAAATATTAACTCTTACATATTGTATAAACAGAAAACCCAGTAAATCCTGTGATCTCTTGACTACCTGCGACATTGTCCGTCATTCCCTCCTCATTTCCTCCTCCACAAACATCCCCAAATTGCGACCAAACAGTGACTTTACCACCGTGCTACACGACTAGCGTTTAATTAAAAATGAGTTTGAAGTTCTTCGTGAAACTTCATCTATTATAAGTAAAATTGGCTGGGGAAACGTATACCACTCTTTGCAGTTTGCATTAGTTCCACCATTAAATTGTTGGTCATACGTAAACAATTTTTTGTTTTGTGGACAAGGTTATATTTCACTTTCNTTTCCCTTTACCGGTATTTATTGTGCTCTCGTAGTCTAAGTAACCTTTTTTTGTATTTTCTACAAGTACATTTTGGGTGCATACCCTTTGTGGGTTATTATAAGCAATGGCATTATCAAAAAGGTTACACGGCGTCAGATATTCATGCTCGATTAAGAAGGGTACGACCGTCAGAAAACTGTCACTATAGGCTTTTCCGACCACGTTCAGCAAGACATGTTTTGAAGTTTGTTTAAATAGTGGAGTTCTTCCCTCCCCAAAAAAACTCGCATTAGTATTCATGTAAACAAATTGTAGGTTTTTTTTCACAGAAACTCGGTTTCCCCACTTCTCCATTCTCAAGTCGTTAACAACATATAAACAGGTGCAATTAAATAATTCAATCATATCAAATCTGAATTGCATTATTTTGATTCCATTGAGCAGTCAATCTGTTTCAAACTTTAGTGATAATACTGTGATGTCGTTCATTCGCGTTGTTTTTCTTTTCATGTTGACAAACTTGCTCGTTATCTTTTAAGTGACATGAAAATGAACTTCATTCCAGTCTTCTTGTATACGTATTCATTTCCCCCGAGAAAAACCACTGTGATAAATTGAAGGAAATCGCTTAATTCAGAGGAATAAATGGAAGGATGTTTAAATTATTTGCTGATCTTTCACCGAAGATGAATGATTGAAAAGAATTTTGATTAGTTAAATATTTCATGGCAGAGAGTATAAATATAATGATGAATCATATCGTGTTCCCGGTCTTTTTTATCGACTGCCTGTCCCCAGTGGTCCAAACCATTGATCCAAATGAAAATATTAACTCTTACATATTGCATAAACAGAAAACCCAGTAAATCCTGTGATTTCTTGGCTACCTCCTCATTTCCTCCCCCACAAACATCCCCCAAAACGATGGAGAGAAATTGCGACCACACAGTAACTATACCGCCGTACTACAAGACTAGCATTTAATTACAAATGAGTTGAATGGTTCTTCGTGAAACTTCATCTTTTATATATAAAATTGGCTGCGGAAACCTACATCACTCTTCGCAGTTTGCATTAGTTCCACCATTAAATTTTTGGTCATACGTAAACAATATTCTGTTTCGTTTGCAAGGTTCTATTTCACTTTTGGTTACCTCAAATTGTTTTTCCAGGCCCGTTTTCTTTGCACCCTTTTCCTTGTTTTTCAGACCTGTCAGCTGACGACGAAAGTCAACAATTTCATATGCTGTGTTACCAGTCATGGAGGCAGCTAGCAGGGCATCAAAAACGAATCGGTACTGCTCCTGAATATCAAACACAAAATCAATACGATTAAAGAGAATCGTAATCGCTAAGACAAATTTGCAAATATAAGTGCATTTTCGTTACAACTGTTCAATTTTAAAAGTTGAAAATTTCAAATTAAAATGCACATTTA